AGCGCAATACAAGCTTCAAGTGGAGTTTCGAATGGGATATGTATCTGAGTACCGTTTAAGAATAGGACTGTGAGGCTGTTGCGTATATTTTTTTATTATGAGAAAAAATGAATGGTTATGAAGGCTCTTAGATTTTGCATATACGACATAAATAGTTTCTAAAGCAAATGATCACGTCCCATGGTAGCCTCAAAAATACAACATTTAAAAAAAAATTCTTATATTTCCACGCGTCTCTCCGAGCTACTGCGGCGTAGGTGCGCCGCTATGGTGCAGGAGCCTCCTGTTGAATTGCCCGCTCAACTTCTTAGCGGACAACGTCGGCTATCGACAGGGAAGCCGGCTGGTTAGCAGCAGGCAGGAGCTTCCTTAGCTCTTCTCAAACGACATCACGAATGATCTCGCGAATGTCTCGGATGCTGGAGCCAAGGAATGAGCTAGACAGCCCGAGGGCAGCGTCGCCGGGTATTTGCTTCTAGTGACGGGCTCGGGCTTGCAAGGCACGCTTGATGTTCATAACCTCGGCGAGAATATCATCGATTGTTGTCGGAGGGCTGCGGGCAGTGCCTCCAAAGATGTCGTCTCTGAGCCCATGCATGAGGAGCTGTCGGGCAGTATTCGATGCCTTTACGACATGAGCTACCAACGTCTCAGACATTCCGACGTCGGGAACGGCAGCCCCTAGGTCCTCCGCACCAAACAATTAGGGCCTAGGAACACGTATCTGTGTGTGTCACGGCCGGTCGACGACCAGTGCGTTATCACTACAGCGAGGCCGACCATGTCTACCGGAGCTGCCCATACCAACAAAATGGGCCTGCAAGGTTTTGCGCTGAGCGACACGCTACCCTGCCTTGAAGAGCGATCAAGGGACATCGAGGAGTACCTCCGACGACCTCTGTCTCCGGTGCCCACTCTACCACGATTTTGCCATTCGTCTTCGCCTCGACGAGCGATTTTGCCCTCCCGCCACTTGCGGCGGGACAGCCTGTTCTGCCTATCTCGACGGGAAAACTAAGTGCGGTAACGCCTGGAGGTGGAGTTTCCGAAGACGACCAAAGTAAAGAGCCCCCAAGAACGCCGGAGCGCTCCCACTCTCCTGACTTCAAGCTTTTTAACGACGCTCTTTTAACGGTACAAAGCACCCTAAACGTTTTATTGACGGCCACGATGCGTCGGCACTCGTCGACGTCGGAGCAGAATACTCAGCTTGAGAGGGAGGCTCTCTCCGCCTGCGAAACATAACGATGCCATGGGTTTGAGCTCAAAGACGATCCGCTGCAGGGGACCTTATCACACCAGTCGGGAGATTTACCGCTCACGTCGAGATTCATAGTGAGACGTGCACTGTTGAGTTCGTCGTTTTGCAAGACTGTGCGAGGGACGTTATCCTCGGAATGATTTTTCTCTTCGAGTATGGCGCCGCCATCGATCTTAGACCAAACCAGTTGACGCTGCGAAAGCCTGTTCCGCCGCCAGTGGATCCCAACGCTACGTCAAACGCAATCCGAGTAATTGCCGACCATAGGAACCCGCCGCCGCGATCGAGTGCTTTCGCAACCGTCATAATTGGCGCAGCCTTATGCGGTGAAGCTTTTCTGGAAGGTAGCGTCTAACTCCTCATTTGAAAAAGGAATTGGCGTCACACGGGACGTAAAGATCTTCAAGAAGGACGTACTGCTCAATTTGTGAAGAAATTTCGAGAGCAGCTGCAGCACATAACGAAGAGTACCACCATGGGCCACACCCAGGGGCTAAAAGCTCCAACCGAGGTCACCACAATCTCTGAGTAAACTTCTTCGTCGCAGTACAAAACCATGTAGCCGCCGCAGGTTTACATCAACCCCGAATTCCCAGCGCAAAATCACCGGAAACTTGTTGATCTCCTCGCTGAATACAGTGACTGTTTGGCCACGTCCTCGAAAGTCCGCCAAACACCAGAGGCAGAACATTGCATTGTTACAGTCAGTGACATGCATCCAGTCCCCTAGTCACCGTAGCGTGTCTTTTTAAAATAGAGAGAAGTTATCCAAGAACACGTTCATGAAACGCTTGACGGTGACATTATCCAGCCGTCAAGCAGTCCATGGGCTTCACTAGTCATGCTCGCAAAGAAGAACGAAAAAGCCCTGAGATTCTTTGTGGACTATCGTAGAACTAATGCTGTGACAAGAAGGACTTTTACCCGATCCCCTCCATCGGCAATACTCTGTACCGTCTACGCCACTCCCGATACATTCCGTCGATGGACATGAAGAATGGCTACTGCCAGATCGAGGTTGACTAACGGAACCAAGAAAGAACTGCCTTCCTCACGCCCGACGGACTGTACGGATTTTTCGCCCTTCGAACTATGCACAGCGCCGGCGGCCGCGCTGCGTGTTTTGGACACAGTGGTATCAGGCTTAAAATGGTGGAGCTGGCTCGTCTACCTCCGCGGCGTTATGGTGCTGGCCAGCAACATCGATAAGCACTTACGATGACTCCGTGCCGCACTTGAAGCCATCAAGGCCGCTGGACTAGCTCTCAAGCCAACGAAATATCGGTTCGCTTATGGTGAGTTCAAGTTCCTATTCCACGTTGTGAGCAGCGAGGATGTTCGTCCTGACTCCATGAAGACGCGCGCCGTTGCCGCAATTTTTTCGCCTACGGACAAAGGGCCGTAACTGCGCCTACTCCAGGCGCTTCGTTGGAGATTTTGCGAAGCTTTCTGCGCCACTGACTTATCTTACGAAGGACGCTGTAAAGTTTCAGTGGCAAGAGGGGTACCAGCGGGTGTTCGATGAGTTTAAACGAAGACTGCAATCACCTCCCGTCCTTGGTCATTTGGACCCACATGCGCAAACAAAAATTCACACGGATGCAAGTAACACTGTGCTTGGTGCGGTGTGTGTTCAAATACTGGAGCGAACAGAGTGGGTACTCGCCTATGCAAGCCGAACACTGTCCGAGGAGGAGAGTAATTACTCTATGGCGAAGAAAGAATGCCTCGCCATCGTCTGGGCCATTACCGAATTTCGCCCGTACTTGCATGGAAGACCGTTCCGAGTGGCTAGGGACCACCACTCGTTCTGCTGGCTCGCCAATCTGAAGGAGCACTTAGGACGCCTCGTCCTGTGGACTCTATGACTACAGGAGTTTGACATGACCGTGGTGTACAAGTCCGTCCGAAAGCGCAGTGACGCCGATTAGCTGCCAAGAGCCCCCGTGGATGCCGGTCCTGCCGATACGGAAGACAATGACGACGAATGTTTATTTGGCGCACTAGATGTCAGTGACATGGAAGCACTCCAAAAAGATGATCCTGAACTTGAAAGATTCATCGAGCACCTAGAAGAACAAGAAAGTGCGGTTCCCCACGTTTTGATACGAACACTGCCGACCTCCTCAGTCCAAGGTGTGCTGTACAAGGAGACCTTCAGCGACAACAACACGGCGTGGCTGTTTGTCATCCCTTCCAGTATTTGGGAAGACATATTTCAAGCCTGCCATGATGACCCGACGGTGGGACACGCTGGATACAGTAGGACTTTTGCCAGGATACACGAGACTGACTCCGGCTCGCCACTCGGAGCCCCTCATGTACACGCGTCGACTTCAGGAACAATCGACGCGAAAGGTTAGGCGCGTAGAACATTTAGATTTCGAATAAGCAACAGGGTGCTCGAATTCACCAGAACGCGACATTTACAGAGACAACAAAAAGGTGCGTCTGCTCCTAGGCATTGAACCTCGTGCCTTAGCCTTGGAGCCAGGCACAACTACATTGTGTCACAAAAGAAAATGTACACGGTCTTTTTTACCGCAAAAATAAACTAGGCATCGCCGAGCGCTCATTCTCCGCCCAAAGGTAGAGCTATAGGTCACAACCGGATGCCAAAGTTTTAGCTCGATCCGATAACTTAATCAAAAGTTATAAATGATTTTCTGAAAATTTTAATTGGAATATAGAGCCCACTTTTGTTCGTTTTTATTTTCTGGTGCCAAGAGCCCCATGTGTTCGAAAACTCCGTCGGCCGCCATTTTCCCATTGAAATTTTCAGAAAATCAGTAATAACTTTTGATTAAGTTATCGGATCGGGCTGAAACTTTGGCATCTGGTTGTGACCTCTAGCTCTACCTTTGAGCTGAGAATGAGCGTTCGGCGATGCCTAGTTTATTTTTTCGGTAAAAAAGACCGTGAAAATTTTCTTTTGTGACACCCTGTATATTCGGCCACGGGCGGGCTTGCTCGGAGACGCGCGTCGCAATACAGTGACATAATATTTTGATGAAATACTTCAAAAATAGCCCGCTTAGTGCTTAAAGAGATGAGAAAAAGTTAAAGCTGAAAATTAGTTTTCGTGACCCATTAACTTAAAACTGCGAATGCTTATTTCTTTTGGGTTAACTTTAGTTTGTTCTACCACAAAATAAAAAGAAATATCAAATTTTAGATTTATTTAAATTTCATAAAAGCAAAAATACGATCATAATATTGTCTTGTTAATTTAAACCGTTTTGCGTGACAACTTGTTTACATTCAAATTAACGTAAAAGTAATATGTTTGTTTTAACACATCTGTTACATTTATATATTGTATCAAAATATCCAAGCACCTATACTCCAACGAAAAGGGCAACACATTTTCATATTATAAATGTTTCATATAATGTTACAACACTAGAGAATTTCGACGACAGTTTTATATTTAAGTCTGAGGGAAACTGAAATATACTTTCACATTGCGTAGAGGTGAAAATGGCATTCGAAGTCCTCACAGATTGAAAATAATCTGAACGATGCAACGTGCACCTAGTCAACACCCCTCCTCCCCCCCCCCCCCCCCCCCCCCCCTTCGCCGTGCACAAAAGGCGTGCGCGCAGCTTCGTAAAAAAACTTCCATAAATTGCTTCTTGAGCCACACTGAAAACGTTTGCTGAAATCTACATTTTTCTGTGATTTAAATTTTGTAATAGCCTGCACTCGCTTTTAGACATTGGTGATGTCTGCTTTGCAGGGATCCATTTGTGATCACATATAAAACGACTGGCTCTGATACAATGGAAGGGGAACCTGGTAAGTACCAGTGGTTTCAGAAACGGATATACTACATATATATTACAGTCCTAAAACAACTGTCTTTCAAGGGAACGTTTAAGGGCAGTAAGTACCGGGTGTTTGTGAGAGATCGGAACCCGGCTTTTCGCACCGCAAGAATAAACTAGACATTGCGCGGACCTCCAACTTTGTCAAAACGTAGCCCCAGCCGTTCGAGCAAGATGCCAAAATGTCAATAGTTACTGCTACAGGAATAAAAAGTAGGAGGTAAAATGCTGTTTTCGCTTATGAGAGAACGCCGTCCGTGAGAAGCACCAGACAAAATTACCCTGTTTGCAACGCCTCTCACAGATGGCGGCTCAATCAGCCAAGGCTTTTGGGTGGTCAGTTTACGTGTTGGTCTGGCGGTTTGGGGCACAGCACCGCCACACCGTTTCTCACGCGCTTCGCTCGGTTTGGGTACAATTCCAGGTTGTTGGTGGACTGTTTTTTTAAACTCAGGTTAGGCTCGCTAAGTTGTTTATTTGTATAATTAAATTGTTTATCGTGGATAAAAATGTTTTGTTGCTTCATCAGCTGGCTCTGCGTTTTTGTTGTTGTGACCTGAGCCTTACACTGATTTACAGGTATAACATTATGCGCGACACCGGACTGTAAAAAGATGAAGGTAATAAAGCGAGTGATATTTGGGGAGGGAAGGGGCCACATACAAAAAATCCAGTTTGCAGGGGCATTCAGAGACCCGGGGGAGCAGGGTACCCCCCCCCCCCCTACCCCCCTAGATATTTCGGACTGATAAAGAAAACAATACGGAAAAAGAGGACGTGGTCGAGCTTGTTTTAATCTGAAATTATTTATGCATATGTATCGCTACTGTCGCTCTCCACTGCATAGAAGATAGCGCAGATGGTAATTGTTAGCAACTCATTGTCAGAAGGCACTAGTCGTGACATGCTTAGTGGTTCGGAGGTTCAAAGCTATGTCCTTTCGACCTAAATATTTAAGCTATTTGTAAAAAAAAATAATTATAAACATAACAATAAATACCAGGATGAAAAGCTGGAGAGAAAAACAAAAAAAAACTATCAAGAACCCGCCGGAAGTGTTCTATTCTTGCATATTCAGAGGCCCGGAACTTCGACACAAGTTTATTCTACCAAAATGTGTGCACGCTAAAAAAAAAAAAAAAACATGTCCGAAAAAAGTAAAATAATAAAAAAATGCCGCTTTTTTATGACGTGCTGAACTTGAACAATATTAGAAATCTTCCGCCATGAGTTAATTTAGTCCTGAACGTGAAAAAAAACAATAAATATATAATTTTCTATTCTGCACATGGTAATGATATGTACTGCCTGTGGTGTTAATTTAAATGCCATACCTCAAACAATTTAGACTACAAAAATGACCAATTTAGGGCATAATTGCCCACATTTCTTCGAAACACGTCTTGGACAAGAATAATCATATCTTAAGACGACCCTTACCGAGGCTATACATGGGTCATTCTTAAAAACGTTTAACATCTCTACCATAAATAGTTTCTGCTATAGCGCGCTTCAAATATGGCACAAACGACAATCATTAAAAACCCGTCATCCTTCCTCGCCCCTTCGAGAATTTATTTCTTTACAACTAAGCATGCCAGAACATTGAAGTAAACGACATTGTCTTCCGTAAAAAATGCAACACCACATGTAAAAGTGCGAAGAGAAAAATTACAAATGTACCTGCCTGCTTGAATCCAAATGAAACCGCCATCCGGTTTTTTGAAGTTCAACGAACTTCGAACTTTTACCCTATAAGTGCGAAGTTCGTCGAATTTTGACTTCTCAGAATTTGAAAATTCAAAAAATTTCGAATTCTTTATATAATAAGTTCTAAAGTGTTAAAATTATCGAAATTCTTAGCGGAGGAATTTCGAAAGTTCTAAATGCTTCGAACTTGTTAGTGCCAGAAAATAGAAAGTTCGAAAACCATAGAATTTTTTAGTCTATCAAGGCCGAAAGTTCGACAAGCATCAAATTTTGCAGCGTAATAAGGTCGAAAGTCCGAAAAGGATCGACCTCTTTAGCGGAGGAATTTTGAAAGTTCTAAATGCTTCGAACTTTTTAGTGCCAGAAAATCGAAAGTTCGAAAACCATCGAATTTTTTGGTCTATCAAGGTCGAAAGTTGGACAAGCATCAAATTTTGCAGCGTAATAAGGTCGAAAGTTCGAAAAGGATTAAACTTTTTGCGTAATAAGTTCGAAGGTTCGAAAAACACTGCATTTCTCAACGTGCAAGGTTCGAAATTTCGAAAAGCGTCGAACTTCTCAGTTTAAAAAGGTCGAAAATTCGACTTCCGTCGAATTTCTCGATATGGAAAGTTTGAAAACTCAAAATCTTTTTACACCTTTTCGAACCGCTTTATTCTATCACAGAACCTTCGGTTCGAAAAATGTTCGTGGCATCCCTAGTTTTGACGAAGTTGGATCTCCTCGCAAAATCTAGTTTATATTGTCGGTGCCAAAAGTCGGGCTCGGATTTCTTACAAACACCCGGTACACTAAATTGAAGGTTATATAAACAGCGCATATTAGAGTGAACAAGATAGGGTTAGGCTTAACGCACCAGACGCACTGCATATGTTGAAGAAATTGTGATGCTTAAAAGGAATAGCGAGACCGATAATTATTTCACATGTGTCAAAACATCTACAAGTTCATGTTTTCTTAATAAAAGCGGCGCTATCATGTAGGCGCACTTAAAGCTTCATGTTGCCAGTCGGCCTTCTCGCAGCTAGCTAGGGTCGACATGCGATTTCGCGGCGAGGGGTACACTGCTTAAGTAAGAACAGCACCATTTACTCAGAAGCCAGACAGTAGAAGAGCTTATTAGCAAACGAAACAATTGTGAACCTTGAGACTGGATTGATAAAAAAATGGCAAATAACGGACAACAGAACAAAATAACAGCGTTGTTTTGTTCTTTTTTTTTTTTTAATCTTCCACATTTCAGGTTTCAGAACCATATTATATACGATTCACTGATGGCCATTGTTGGCGAAGCCTACAATTGGCATAATTAGAATAAGTATTTTGCATATTCCTAAGACACGTTCAACTTCAAAAAATAGAAGAAAATTGTAATATATTATAAATTTCATAAAAGACGCAGTAGCCCTCCAAGTTTAAACATATTAGATGGTAGCATAGCAATTATTTTAGTTACGTAAATAGTTAAGGCTAGCAAATTAAACAAATATAACCACTCATTACGTAATTTAACTTCAATTTTAAAACCACACCTATCATTCAGCGAAACGTTGGTAACATCTAGATCAATTGAAAAGAGAGAACTAAGACATGTTATTTTATTAAGTTCGTTATAAAATCAAATAACCTGGCACCCCATTTTAGATGTAAGCACATAAATATGGGCCTTTTAAAATAAATTGAATTATGTTTGTCGATTTTTGTAAGTTATCTAGCTTGGCGAGATTAATTAGGTTATATTTAGCGTATTAATGTACCGGCCTGGTGTCCGAAACCCCGACGCTGGCTCTAAAACCGACTGGAAAATTTAGAGCTAGCACTTAGCGAACTTTAGGGTTTACCAAATGTGTATTTTATTGGTGCATTTCATCTTGTAAGACACCAAGGCGTATCTCTCGTTATGAAAAATCAGACCAGTAAACTTGCCAGGATCAATGGTGGGCGTCGATGGAGACGACCGAGCTGGGCAAGGGACACATGCGCGGTGAAATTGGGTGCGTCGCGGCACATATACCGCACGACGCATCACCTACCGATACACGGCGATATTTCAAATATTTCAATTTGAAATCAAAGATATCAAAATCGTTCCAAAAGGTACCTCTGTATATTGTACAAAACGTCCTTGAAGATATAATATGCATGGCTGTTCCACTTCGTTGTGAAAACTGGACACTTAGACATATATATATATATAGTAGTACGAAGTCCCAGGTGATGTTTGCATAGAGGCCCAAATTGGACAACAAAGGCTATGTATATATGTATATATATATATATATATATATATATATATATATATATATATATATATATATATATATATATATAGTAGTAATAAAGTCCCAGGTGATGTTTGCATAGAGGCCCAAACTGGACAACAAAGGCTTGAGCGAATTGCTTGTGTGAGATGTGACCAATTTTTATAACAGACACTTGAGCGCTTTCGTTTGAAATTACACGGAGATATTTGATTAACTTTATGCGAAGCAGGTCACACCGAATAATATAATGAATAGATGATAAATCTCCGTGACATTTAAATGAGCACCGTGAGAAGTGCTATCAGTCAGCTTCGTGATAACAATATGCAGAGGAGAAAACTGCCATCGATACAGTTCAAGATACTAACCCAGCAAAGATGAATTTCGTGCCACACACAATACACGTTTCTTCGCATCCCGGCGGCATTTAATGGCTGGCCCGACAAACCTGACGACACCAAAAATCTCTCCAGTGCAAATGGCAGTGCCTCGGTATTCTTTCTACACTCTTACCGTAATCGCTTTGCTGTACTCTGGAGTTAGCATTCTGCCAAGCCTTGAAGTTTGAAGTCAACCGCCCAAACAGATCTCGCCGTCGTAGCACCAATTCTCGGCACCGTCGTCGTCCATCAGGAAGACTTGCAGGTTGCTAGTTGAGGTAGTCATTTCGCAACAGCTTCCGTGTCAATCACGGGGCTTCGAAAACATATTCACGAGTGTGTTCGAGTCGCACACAGCACCGAACACAAACCGAACTGATCAAACAAACGGCCGCCATCGTTGCATTTAGGGCGCTCGCGGCAGTTTTCTAAACTGATCAGGTGAAAATTGTGTAGGGGCGTTAGTGACGGTTGTTTGAAAACAGCCCTGCGGCGGCACTCGGTTTCATCATAGACGCGGTCCCTGCTTTGATCGGACGTCTGCGTCGGCATCCGCCGCTGATCCTGGCAGGTTTGTTGGTCTCACTTTTCCCAGAAAAAGAGCTACGTCTCGAAATTTGTGAGTCTAAAATGCCTCATTAAAAGGCAAATTTAATGGAAGTTTGAGGTCGCTATGGGCAGGACCCAATTTTACGGCTAGTTTTGGAGCCATCCTCGGGATTTCTGACACCGTATATATCAGCTTAAGAAATAATGTTGCAAATGTAGGTTACACCATATTTGTTCATTAAACCCACCTCGCTCAATATTCCTTCTGGTTTTGTGGTTGCCCACAGCACGGTGTGCTTTGAATAAAGGTAAAATTATGTACTAACTAATGTGAAATACTATCGCGCGCAACATGAGCTGAAGTGTCATGGCGCGCTGCGCACGGTACAATCTGATACACCTGCTGCATTGTTCTGCAAACTGTGATGCACGCTGTGGCCAAGACAAACCTCCAACTACGCTCATAGTACTATTCTGCACTTCCGTGTAATCTCGTAGTGAACAAGTGGAGGTGACAACCCCTTCTTTCATCGAAACGTAAAAACAATGCATGACACAGCATAAATCTATCAAGCTCTTTCTCGAAGCAATTTTTGCGGGTTCACACAATCATTAGTTCGCATCTGAGTGGCTCACACACGGATCAATATCCGTAATTTGAAACTCGTCGAAACCGTCAAGAATGCCGGAAGAAGTGCGCCATACATCTCATCATTGGAGAGGCAATAGTTGACACAACGAAACGGCTTTTAGCGAACGTGCAATAAAGAATTCATGCGGGGATGAAGGTCAACCTAGGGATGCTCCCTCAACAAAAAGCGTTCTCAGGCTACAAGTGAGTAAGAGGACCACCCCTCATCGCAGCTCTATCAGTTAAATATCAGTTCATTATTTCCAATTGGCGCAGGAGCTTCGAGGTATCCACCCAGAAAGTGCTGTCAATACTGCCGCCAAACTGTACTTCGTCCGCCGCTACAGGCGAACTGAAGAGGTTCCTGAAAAACAAAAACGAGTTAGAGGTAAATTGTAAAGCATTTTATTACTGTGATTATGAATATCACGTTCGTCTTCCCCAAATATGTAACTAGACTAGAGAAAACACGAAAAACCTTCGACCAGTCGTGACGTCATACCCAGATCTTCCGGGCGCCAAGCGCGTGTCGCTGGTGTAGGAAGAGTGTGCAATTGCAACGGTGCCAGGTATATTCTATCGCACGAACACCAGTCGTGACGTCTTTTTCTGACCTTTTTCAAATAGTAAGAGTGCTCGCATAGTTTTGGTAGGCGGAGAAAATTCGCGCGAGCTGAGATTCCGAAAAATCTGGATATGACGTCGCGCTCCGGCAGGAAAGGGCTTCCTAAGTTCTTTGACTTTCTGCAGCCGCCGCGCACTAAATAGAAAAATAATCTTGATATTCGTAATCGTGCAGGCCCAAGGAAGACGATTTAAGTGTTTTTATTTCAATATGAAATTGTTTCAGTTTCCCTTTAAGCCGGGGTTGTATCCAATGCTACAAACGCCAGAGCACGATGTCGAGCCTTGGAAACGTTCTTCGGCAGAACAAGCGCTGCAGCCAGAAAAACACTTCTCAAAGTCGGGAGAGCGGGCCACCTCGCGCTTGCAGGTTTGGCTGTAGTCTCAGCTTAAAGTGGTCATGGGACGATATCAAGTTCGAATTTTCATGACTTTGCAGATGCGCACTAGTCCCAGTCTGGACTAAGTATACTCGCAGAGTCCGCTACTAATTCGGAAACTTCTTTGTCGCGGTGAAATTGCGAGCATAAAAAGGCATTATATCTTTCAGTTTTGCCTTTGCAAAGATGGATGGCGCAATTGTGAGATCGAATCGCCGGACTGATGACAGTCGATCGCGGCTCATGGATGGGACACGAGAACTGTGTGCGCACTCCGACTTCGGGTCCTAACAATCAATGCCTCGGCTGACACTCGGGTAGTGGCTCGTGTCCAACCATTGGGATCATGAAAATAGCCGAACTCTAACAACGCCTTGAGTTCAGCGCGCATTTTCTACTTTGCCAACCCCAGCGCGTGGGTATGATTAAGGTTAGAGGCATGGGATAGGCACCAGGCCACGTGGCCAATTGTTTCTCGCTCCGAGTTGAGAGGATGAAAAATGTTCATGTTTCGCGAATTTTTTTTTTAGCGACTGCAATTGCCTAAAAAGAAAACCCCAGACGAGTTCATTCAGTTATGAACGTTAAGGGTAGATTCTAAGCAGTATTTACCGAAAGTAGAGAGATCGTTTCATGGCTTCTTTAAGCGTGAACGGAGTATAGCAGATTACACGGAAGTGTAGAGTCGTGCAATGAGTGCAGGAGGGAGGAGTTGTCTTGTCTCAGCGCACATCACAGGTAGCAGAAAAATGCGACAGGCGGTTTTAATGGTACCACGCTCCACACGTCGTGGCCTTTCAGCTCTTGTTGGCCGCGATAGTACTTTAAGAAATTAAGCTTCCCCATTTCCATACCATAACTTTAGGCCTGAAGTGTGAATCTGGCGACCATCCACCAGTGCAAGTTTGATGCTTTCCGACTTGCAATTTTTGACAGTTTATAAGACTGGTTAATTTATTATTATTACTAAACACTTATTCAGTGAAATGGCTCTCCCCAATTTCACTTCTACTGACCAGGGAGAACGGGAGGAAGAGAAATGAGGGAGAGGGGGTGATGAGGCAAGGGACGGGGGTATTAGAAATTTTCTCGCATAGATAGAAACTTGTAGTTTGGCTGCCCCACTAAAGTCGAGCAGAGAGCCAAAGACTACCTTGCGGTGCTGTGGGGCACCCCTATAATGCCTTAGTTTTTATTATGGCTGCTTATTACTCGGCAAGTTAGGCAACCACAGCGACGTAAGGCGTGTAATCTCCAGAAGAAAATTTGACCACTTCATTAAGCGACCACTGTATGTTAAGGATACATATTCTCAAGTTTAAACGTCATCGAAGTGCGAAGGGGAAAAAAATGAATGAGTAGTAATAATAGTTACATAAAGTGCAATAGACTTTGGACAGTCACTATTGAGGTAAGATGTTAATGGTTGTTTGCGCAGTCAGGGAATCTAAGGTGTGCCTGAAATGCCGAGTCTTAATCTAAAATGGGCCGTAAAGTTTGGCGCCTGCATATAGCAATCTAAGCTTTTTGTCAAAGGTGTATTTCACACGTGGGTTTTACCTATAATTGCAAGGCCTAGCTTCATTTCTATAATAAATAAGGTCAAAAGTTGCCAGGGTGAACGGCGGATGGCGATGCAGACGACCAAGACATGTACGTAACGCCTTGGTAGTATCGAGTTACTTTTACCTAGTTTCATTTTTAGGTACCGAGTAACTTATTTAGTTACTTTTCTAGAAAAAGAGCGAGTAAAGTACTTGGTTACTTTTTAGTTCAAGTAACGTGCAACGGTATTTCGTTATATTTTAGGGGTAACATGTACAACACCATTTAAGCAGCTTCGTTTTTGATTTTAACCTAGGTATTCATCTATTACGACGAAGCCAGATGGGCTACCAGAAAAACAACGAAACAGGATGACAGTATAGCAACGTTTATCGCTGAACACGTCGGTCGAACTTTACAGGTGAAAATGCCCTTCTCCCAGCGAACACAATAAGGATCGTCGGTTGAATCCTCTAGAATCTTGTAGAGACCAAATGTAAACCCAGAGGTTGCCGGCGCGGCAAGGCACAGAACTCATGGTCAGGTTGGAACTTTAGCAGAAAAGAGAGCGAACGATAGAGGGGAATCCCAGATTCACCTGCTCTTCCTGAAGCACAACACTGTCGTTCTTTCGAGCGCGTCAGTAGAACGACTTCCTCTTCAATTTTACATGTGCAAAAACTTAGGGCTTGGAAACGATGGAGACGGGGGGGTGGGGGGTTTTAAACATATGATAAGCTACCCTACACCTGACCCCCCCCCCCCCCCCTCCCCCTCTGGAAATACCTGCGACCGCCCCTGCGTGCACCTGACGACTACTACGGTCCGTTTTGGATCGAGCCTCGGCTACGTTTTTTCTTTGCCTTCCCGTATATTGGTTTGGTCTTGAACCATTGTGGAGTATATTAGCCCAGATATATTTATTTTTATTCCTCTCGTAATTTGAAAGTTTGCTCAGTAATTATGAAACTTGCTGTGAGTAATTCTGTTCCGTTCGCAGTTCTTGATAGAATGGTGGTTCAATATGTCAACGAGAAAGAAAAATGTCTTATCGTTCAACATATGGGGAAAGAAACACGTAAGTACAAGCAGCATTTTTGAAACTTAAATAATTAATACGTAATTTCCTTGCTGGAAGGGTAAACTTATTGCAGCATATATCCTAAAAATAATGTTTATCCATGTTGCTAAGAAAACTTACGCCTACGAGTGATTTACATTGTTTTAATGTGGAATTAAGGCTGGTTCCCAGACTTGCGACTGTTTGCTACCGTGTGCCTTAAAACCTTTTAAAATCTATTATGATGAGGGAATACACTGGCGCCATCTATGGGGTGGCCGTGGAGCACTTGGTCGGTCCCGTATATTTTTTTTATTTCCGAGCATCATCTTTTTTATTATTTGAAAAACATCTGGCAATGTTATAAACAACCCTTTTCCACAAATAGTTTGCGCATTTAATCTCGTAAATACAACTAAACCTTCGCTCCAGTGCAATGCGGTTCCAGTTTTGCCTCATGAATTTCTCCAGCGTGCCAATATGTTGTAAGGTCATGAGAGATCGAAAAAGCTTGGTCTTAAGAAAACAGTCGTAAGCTTGATTGTATCCAAACGGGCCGACAAAGAGACACAGAGATACGCAAAACTCTATTGTAATTTGGCGTAATGTCAATCTACAGAGAGCAAGAAACATATGTAATTGCGTTAACTTGAAAGTGCTCTAGTTCCAATTCGTCTTATTTTCAAGCACATTTCCTTTTTCAGAGTAAATACTCTATTCGTAAAAAACAAAATGTGCATATTCCTCGGTGTGTAGGTTAAAATCCTTTTTTCTGCCTTGTGCTTTTAAGACATCAAATATCAGTGAAAAACCTGAGCTAAATAACAAAAGCCCCTTGTTCCATTAGACTAAGTTTTCTTGTAAACAAAAATTAATACGATATACTAGAAGCAGCGTGGTTCAAAGATTTAAAAAAAAACGCATATTTTATATAACTTTTGAAGTGTTAATTGCTTAAGCTTAATTTGTAGAGAGAGTTATTAGGTGTAGCCAAATAACCAGATTATTTTTACGTTCTAAAAGGTTTCTGGGCCGGGCTGCCCGCCGAGCCTTTACCGCACTTTGATGTCCACCCCATATGAATTCGGTGACGATTATTCCATCTTTTTTCCGCTGATTGTTTGAGAGTTCTCAAAAACAATTTTATACTGCACGTTCTAGTTGTTCTTTACTGTGTTAATCTTTGCGACCGCGCAGCTAATTAAATTATACAATAGAGCACAAACAAATAACCTATTTTATGGTTATGCTTTAATAATAAAATGGTAAATTTGAATCAACTTTCCTATATTTAGTTATGAAAACACGTAACCCTGCCCATCAATATTGTTGATAGAGTTTGGTCAAATTATTAGTCTAGATTTTTGTTTTCATTTAAAATCATCAAATTGTTTTCGAACGACATGCTTTTTTAAATGAATATCATGCGAAGTAATTGGATCAAAGGCTTTTTGGAGATAGCTCATAAATCGGTTTCTGAACATATTGAGCTAAGGTTTTGTAGTTCAGAGGTGGCAGAAGAACGTGCAGTAAGTTATAAATCTTCCACCGAACGAGCTTAGCTGAGTAAAAAGCTGAAAATGGAGAACTTGAAATCCCTAACTACGACGTCCATCTCCAAATGAAAGCATGACCTAAAAGATTTTTCACGCGCTGGCTGCGCTCCTCAGACCATTGCATTCGTCGGTAGAGACTGCTACTGTGGCGCGCTTGGCGGCGCTCGCAACCAAACCAAACAATACAAAGACATAGTCGCGGCTTATTATTATCACCATTATCACGGGACTACGGAACCTCGGAGCAGTGCAAAATGTGCTCTCCGCCTCTCGTAGCAACACACGGGCCCTTTGGCACGGAAGAAGTTGATCAAAATTTGAAGGTTCATATTTTGAATGCGCGAAATGTGTAGAACACATGTCTGCGCACGCCGGTGAAGTTCAGAAAGCTGTTCCCATGGATGATGACAAAACTATTTCTACGTCTGTCTCGCTGGCCCAGAAGAAACATATAGATTCGCACTAAATCTTGAATTCTGAGGTACGTCCTAGCGATACAAAGCAAAGTCCGGAGCAGCGAATAAAAATTACGAAACAGAGACCGACTTAACCTGTTTCTATTCTGATGATGACAACAATAAAAATGCAAGCTTCATCCCGCGGGCACACACTAGACAGCGTGCTTTGAGGCGATTTTGATTCCGTTTCTGGTTTGATTATAAGCACCGCTTATAATCAAAACGCTGCGAAGATCTACCGAACAGGCTCAGGTCGCATTTTCTGCTGGGCAGCCGAGCGTTAGCACAGGCTGGAGCAGAGCGCGCGAACAATTTAAGAGGCCATAACGAAAAGCGTCTGATTGGCGCAACAGCTGACAGCGACACGTAAGATCTCAGGGGGCTAGAGAGCCTAGTAATACAGGCTCTTTGGAGGCGGCCGCACGGGCGCTTCCTTCGAGCTCGGCGGTGTCTTCGGTGCGACCTCTCTTCAGAGTTCGATCAGAAGAAAGGTTTGATGTGAGATCCGTAGAAAAATGGGAGATATTCGACATCTATAGTGTGCCGCCCACCATGGAACCCCACGTGGGAAAGGATAACACACAAGAAAAATAAAGTTGCCCTACGCCGTTACTCCAGTAGCCCATATTTATTAGTCCTGCTAATACATATGGGCGCGCCTCACCAGGGGCAGGAGTGGCGCTGCGTATGAGCGGCGAAATTTCAGCCGCTCAGCCCTAAGGTCATGCAGGAAAGAAGAAGTGGAGGCGAGATACCAGCTCAAGCCAGTCAAACGAGAAAAGCTCAAGTGAAGCCTGAAGTAGAAGTCGCGTTCAGTGGCAACTCCTCAAGGGTGCTAAAGTCCACTAGCGTTTTTGGCTTTGGTCATCGTTGGGGCGTGTTCCTCCAAACATCCCCCCCCCCTTTTTTTATCTCTGGTGACGTCATGCATCGTATCGTTATCGGCAGTGTGTCGAACCGAAAAAAATATGGGTTCGGTTACGGTTCAGGTTCAGGTAATAAGGTGAGCTGGCGGGCTAGACTATGATGAACAGGTTCAGGTAAATTTATTTTGTTCCGGTTCAGTTCCGGTTCGATCAATTCGATCCGCGAACCGGTTCGCGAACCGGTTCGGAAATTATAAATGACAAATTGCAACATCAAAATAATACAAACCCTAGTCGCTTCTCCGCGAGCGACTAGGGTTTGTATCCCTGTTTTTTTTTTTTTTTTTTTTTTTTTTCCCCGCATTTATTGAGTTTCCGGTACGAAAAAATACGGCATGTAATTCTTGACACTTCATAGCTCGATATACTCTGACCGGTGGTTGGGGCAGCGAAGAGCAGATATAATTCATGAATGCTCATTTCAACTGTAAATAAAGTTTCTTTCTCTTTCTCAAACATTATCAAACTCCACAGCCTTTTCTTTTCTCATTCCGATGGAAGCAAGCTTCAAGAACTCGCGCGTTCTAGAAACATGTTATGAAATGAGCACACAGCAGCATTTAGGATTTACGAAATTGTAGCAAAATAAAATCCCGTGACGCGTTTTTTTTTTTTTTTTTTTTTTTTTTTTTTTTTGCACAGCCTTTCAATTTTTTTTTTTTTTTCGTGCAAGCCGCGACCAGCGCAATACTGGTTCCTATATCAAGTTTCATGGATGCAGCGTTTGTCAAGATTCGTGGATGCAGCGTTTATATTCCTAAGACTGAGTGGAGAAGAAAAATACGTAAGCGAAGTGTGTGTCAGTTGACGGTACTTAAAAAACAAGTGGCATTGATAGCACATCCATTGTCAACAGCGCGTGGCCGAACCGTTTTGACATGAGCCGGTAACCGTTATTTTTTTCCGGTTCAGTTCCGGTTCGGGTTCATCGCGATAACAATATAACGGTTCGGATTCGGGTTCAGTTCCGGAAAAAATACCTGTTCGGTTCCGGTTTTCGATTCGGTTCGGTTCCGGTTCGACACCCTGGTTATCGGGTACCGTTTTCTGAATATCTGCAGTATCGGTTCAATCTACTAAAATTCAATAACTGTCTTTCGAAGTAATAATGTCTATAAGTGAACGTTTTCTACCTCGCAGAACCTTTGGGAAGTCAATCCCTGAGACTAAACACAAAAATAAAAATGAAGAAAAGAAATAAAGGCGTTTACCATTTTCTCTAACTCCGAATTAGAGTGCAGCTTTTGAGGAGGAGGAGGGGAGCGTACGGAGAGGAGGGTATGCCCCTCTTCCTTCACCGCTAAATTTAGTGGAGAAATGTTTCCGCTAAATATAGCGGGAAACGTTTGCCCTCAAGACGTCATACGTCACGTCATGCACGACGTCAGATTTGTCGTCGCACGTGACGCCACGAGGGTAAATTTAGTGGGAATATTTTTTCGCCAAATTTAGCGGAAACATTTCCCCGCTAAATTCAGCGGGAATATTGACAATGTTAGACGCGCGTGACGTCACGGGACGTTATACGCCACGTATCTCGATCCTATAATGACGTCAAATGTGACGTCACGTGTGACGTCACGAGGCTAACCCTCGTGAGGGTGACCCTCGTAATGGAAATCCTCGTAACCCTCGTGAGGGTATCCCCTGTGAGGTTAAGCCTCGTCACCGTGTGAGGGTAACTCTCGTCACCCCCGTGAGGGTAACCCTCGTAACCCTCTTGAGGGTAACCCTCGTAGTCCTCATGAGGGTCAGCCTCGTGACCGTGTGAGGGTAACTCTCGTGACCCTGTGAGGGTAACGCTCGTAACCATCACGAGGGTATCCCTTTTGACGTCACACATGACGCCAGCTTTCACGTCATTATGGGGAACGTCCCATAATGCAACGCGCGGTTTCGCCGACAACGACGCCGCTGAAGCCAGAAACGGGTGCCTAAGAGCTGTGCTCTAAAAACTCTAGGCGCTTCATGAGGGCGAAAATATGACTAGACCTAAAAACCGTGTGAAGATGATAAATGTTCCTCTCTCGTTATCGGCTGGCGAAGAGCGGTTATTTGATCGAGAGTTTTAGGGAACC